TGGACTGTTCTATATTGTTTTAACAAGGCGAGTTGAGATAATCAAGGAAACATATTGGACATAGGTCACTAAAGAGAGCGTATATTATGGCTCTCGGAACCTGAGGTGCAAAATCTTGGCTTTGCATCTCGCAGTATTTTTATTTCATTTCATTTTTTGCATTTTACAAATTGCATATGTTGGGATACATATTTTGAAATAATTGAGGGGCAGAGATCCTTAAATGTTTAATTGCATGCACTAAAGGCCTCTTTCAATTTTTTTGGACCCGAGAAATGGCAATCTGCTTTCTAGCATTTTAAAGATGCTCATGATGAGCAGGGTTGAAGCAGCTGCTGATCGGGCAGATTTCCCTTTCTTTTTCTGTCTTCTACATTCTTCCTTTTTTCCCCACTTTTGAGATCCCTCTCAATTTTCCAAGTAATACAAACAGAACTCCAAGGCAGGTAGTTTCCTCAAAGAATAGTTTTATTGGATGTATCATATTGGCATAGGCTGGTGAAAACCGACTCTGAATGTTCCCATGGTTTTCACCTAATTAAAAGTAAAGGTTTTTTCCTTCCCCAAACAGTCACATGGATCAATCAAGGTGCCGTCTAGTTGCCTAGTACCTTTACTCCTCCTCTCTCCAGCCACCTGTGGGAATGCCCTTGGTTCCCAGGAGAAAATATTTTGTTTTGGCTACAAAACCCCAGCTATTCTCTATTCCCCCCTCCCTATCCCCCAGCTGCAGTGTGGCAACACTGAAGCCTCAAAATGCTCTTGGTCAGGTCAGCATCAGGGTTGACAATCCCTTTGCTAACCTAGGAAAGGTGTTAGGGAAGGCCCATATTGATCTAGATAAGTCAGAAGGCATTAACTGTAGATAACCTGTCATATTTACAGGAAGCTAGGTTGACATTTTCTACAAATTGATGTAAAAACAATGACTTTGTCTCAACTGTAATCCTCTCAGTGTAGTTGTTCAATGGAAAAAATCCATTCCTTCTGATTCTTGCCTGTTTCTTTCAGGTATATGGCAATCGTTTACCCTTTCAAGCAAAAACTTTCTGCAGTGAACACAAAAGGGATCATAGGAATAATCTGGCTGGTGGCTTGTGCACTAGCTTTTCCGCAGTTCTTTTATGCTCAAGTCATCACTGATCACGGACTGGCCAAATGTGCTGTGAGCTGGCCACACAATCACAGCCAAAGACAGCAGCTCACGTAAGTCCCCAACATAGACTGAAGTGAGAAATGTGCAGTATTTTGACAAATCTAAGGCAAGCAAAGAGGAGGAACACAAATGCCAAATGATTGACAGCTCTGCCTTACATCTTTTTTCAGAATGGTCAGGTAATAAGTCCATTGCCTTTTTACAGGTCTACTGCAGTGATGACTAACCTTTTTGTCATTGCATGCCGAAAGCATGCGCTAACACACATGACAATGTATGTGAAATCATGCACACACATGCCCTCCCACGCACTGCTCCCTGCGCATGTGTGTGCGACTCCCCATTTTTGGCCTAGTAGGCCTCCCTGCAGCCTCCTGGGACCAAAAAGGTGCTGCGGGGGGGCATCGCAGCCCCCTGTGCAACGGCCACCGATTCACATGTGACCCACACATACCCCTGTGCATGCGCACACATCTCCCACATGCACCCCGCCCTACACACATGCATGGCAGAGACCCTAAAATCAGCTGGCTGGTTTGCACAATGGAGTTGAGCTGAGGTAATGGCTCGCGTGCCTGCAGAAAGGGCTCTGCCTGCCACCTGTGGCACGTGTGCCATAGATTCGCCATCACTGGTCTACTGTATCATCTTTGCATTTACAGAGGAGGATGATAGATCATGAGATGAAAAAATACTGCAGATTCTCTTCAACAGACAAAAAAGTTCTTTTTATCTTCATTAGAGTGTGACCTTCCAGGATCATGAATCCCCCCATAGCCACTAAAATCATAGTCACTAAAATCAGGAGTGCAAATATGGACATTTTGTCTATTTCCTCTTTGGATGAGGGCAAAGCTTAAGAAAAGCAAATGAAACGGACCCAAAATTTCCACTGCCTGCTCTTTGGAAAACCTTGGCTTTCTGAATAAGTGCCCAGAGGTAGCTTAGCAGCTCACTGACAATATATTTTTTGAATTCCAGGGAATTTAAAAAAGAGAAGAATTACCAGCTTCTTTGAGAAGGCAAGTCTAAAACCCCCAGATTTTTCTCTACCTTTCTGCATTTAAAAACATTAGAAGATGATATAGAAACACAGCAATAGCCATTTGTGCTCCTTGCTATAGAAACAATCTTGCAAGCATCCAACTACCTAATGAAAATTTAACTTGGATTTTCGATTTATAAATTGAAATAAATTATACATTCCTGGAAGATGCTAGACGATATTTCGTTTGGGCTAATGAGAACATGCGCTCTCCCTTTATAATACGATGGCAAAAAAAAAAGTGAAGCACTTGGGATTCAGGCAAAGCCTCAAATTTTATCTAACCACGCTTTAGAACAGAGGTGCCCAACTTTGTCAACTTTGTGGACATCAATTCCCTGGCTGGGGAATTCTGGGAGTTGAAGTCTACACATCTTAAAGTTGCCAATGTTGGACACTCCTGCTTTAGAAGTTCTGAATCCCACTTTAAGACAAGGAAGGAAAATACATTTTGCGGAAAAGTATGCCTGATGTTTTTGAAAATTCACCTATATATATATAGCCACCCTCCAAGAAAATAATTATGCTTGGCAACATTGGGGAAAGTGGAAGAGGGAGAAAAAAAATTGATGGACAACATAAAAAAATTACTGGAATCTCCTTGAAAAAGTGATGAATTATATAAGTCAAGACAAGCATTTCCCCATAGAGATTTTGGAGGGAGGGGAATGGGTTTATAAAGCCACCAACTCAAATAATGTGAGTAGGTGGTGCACAGCAAAAAACAAAAACTACCCTTCCTCCAAACAAGCCATTATTACACATTTTTTAAAAACTACCCGGTAGTGGAAATTTTGAGTAGTTCGGAGAACCGGCATATGCCACCTCTGGCTGGCCCCAGAATGGGGTGGGAGTGGAGATTTTGCAGTATCCTTCCCCTGCCACATGGACCAAGCCACATCACGCCCACCAAGCCATGCCCACAGAATTTGTAGTAAAAAAAATTGAATTTCACCATTGATGTAACATAGTTGGGAGGAAGACTTCTGGCCAGTGTTTGTCATTTCACCCATGTCATTTCAAGTTATGAGCAGTAAACATTTAGAGTTTTTGCATGAGTCTCCATGGTCAGGATTAAAAAAAGGCAACAGTTGTAGCCTGAAGTTTTGTCATTTTCAAAACATATGCACACTGTGGCCTAATGGAGCCCCAAATAACTCACTAGCGAATAATGGTGGTCTACTGGCTCTAATATTGTAAAGATGGCTGAAATAGGAATGTGAAGTGCTTAAACCACATTAAGAAACCTAGTATTACAGAAGTGAGTTAACTGCTGCATGCAATTCCTGGCACGTGGAATTGCATGCATTGCATACGAGCTTTGTCTGAATACTTAAAGTAACATGGCAACGAGGGGAAGGCTAGAGCCCAATTTTATGGTTGGGGGGTCACCTCAACATGAGGAACTGTATTAAGGGGTCGCAGCATTAGGAATGTTGAGTACCACTGATCTAAAGGCTGGTTGATGCATTACAACTTTCTACATCTTGGTGATTCTGGAGCAAAAGGAGAACAACTACGATAGATACAGGAAAAGATAAGAACGCAAGGGGAAAAAATAGGAGACTGAAAGTATTTCCTAGTGCTGCAAGAAACAAAAGCTCTTTAACTGGGCAGTCTTAAAATACTTTCCATTCCCTCTTCCTTCCGAAGGAAGAAAAATAACAGTTACTAACGTATGACCAAGTCTTGTTCACAGGTTCTCACCATTTCCTTTGATTGTTTCCATATATCCCAGATTGTGCCATCATGACTTCAGACAGTTTTTCATTGCCATTAATGAGCTATTCCAATTCCCTAAAGCAGAGGTCTCTAACCTTAGCAACTTTAAGCCTGGCGGACTTCAACTCCCAGAATTCCCCAGCCAGTTGGCTGGGGAATTCTGGGAGTTGAAGTCCGCCAGGCTTATGTTGCCAAGGTTGGAGACCCCTGCCCTTTAGGAAGGTGATTATGTGATGTTGTAATCAGAGCATCATTTTCAGTGCTTGCTCTGAATTACTCCAAAAGGAAGAATCTAGATGGTGTCCAAAGGCCATTTTCACTTGCTACCTTTTCTGAAGAGCTCTTTATCAAAGATTGCTCCATACATTATTGATAGGAAAGCTTGACTACTTTCTGTAGGCATCCACAGGTCAAAAAAAGGCATCATGGTAACTCTTATGTTTAATTTAAAGCCCTGCCCCTTTTCAATGTTTATCATTATGTGATGCACGTCAAAAAGGGGGTAGTTCCCCTACTTACTAGACATTTACAATGAGATACACATAAAAGCCAGACAGAGTTTTGATTTCACCATCCTAGCTTTCATCATGTAGATCAGTGATGACAAATCTTTTTTGCCTCGGTTGCCAAAAGCACACACGCATGCGATATCGCACGTGTGTGCCCTGCGCATGCACATGTAACCCCTCTCCCTCTGCCCTGCGCATGCGCGGACAGCTTTCTTGGAGCCTGGGGAGGGCAAAAATGGCCTCCCCCCCCCCCTGTAGGCCAGAAATGGCCTGGTTTCCGACTTCCTGTGGGCCCAGTAGGTCCGTTTTTCACCCTCCCCAAGCTCCAGAGGCTTTCTATGGGCCTGGGGAAGGTGAAAACGATCTTCCTCGCCCCCCCCCCCAAGAGACCCTCCGGAGACCAGAAATGGCCCACTTTCCGACTTTTGGGGAACCGTTTTTCACCCTCCCTAGGCTTTTAGCCTCTGGAGGGTGCTGTTCCTGAACTTCCGGTTTGCGCGATGGGTGGTTTTTCACTTCAGGGAAGCCTCCGGAGGGCAAAAAACGGCTGACAATCAAGGCCAAAAATCAGCTGGCCAGCGAGCTGACAGGGCAATGCCCCACGTGCCCTCAGAAATGGCTCTGCGTGCCACCTGTGGCACACGTTCCACAGGTTTGCCATCATGGATGTAGATGTAGAGCACCCTCAGTATGGTAGAGAATTTTCTTATAAAGGAAAGGAAATGTTTGTCCCTGATCATTCATCCTTGGCATTTCTCCTTTTGCTTCTTCTTTTTTTTTCTTGTTTAGGTATCACATAGCTGTCATCCTCCTGGTTTATGTACTGCCTCTCACTGTGATGTTTGTCACATACAGTGCAATAGGAATAACTCTGTGGCGTAATGATGTTCCTGGAGAACATACTAACATGGTGTACTATCAACATAAGATCGTGGCCAAGAAAAAGGTTAGTAATTTGTTCACACATGTTGTCCCCAAAATTGGGCTCTTGTTTGGGGTCGCAGCAGATAAGTCACCAGACACTAGGTGTGATATAGAATGATACTTTTATTTTGATACCAAGATATAAGGACCCCGGTTTGAAAAGCTAACCAAGGGCCAAGATTAGAATCTTACAGCAGTTTTTATAGTCAAGGGATGGTCACATTCAACCCTTTGCCCTTCCCATAATGATGCATGCATAACAGATAATATTGATTGGTTATTTGGATTTCAGTTCCGCTAAACTCTTACTCTTGTTATGTTAAATTGCTAAATGTTACTTCACCTGTTTTTCATCCCAGGTCCTTATATCTTGCAAATGTGCCAGTTGCGTGGGTTTGGGGTTTTTTCTTATAAACAAGCTATTTTTGTTCCTAATATCCTGTCTAGTGGTTTTAAGGTGCTAACTTCTGTCTTGCTGTTAATGTGCAGTCCACCCCCCCCCCCTTACACCTATTGCAGAGCAGAATAAAAGAACAAACAATTTTATCTGAAGCAGCCCCCTCATGACCCCCCTCCTTCTGTAGAGAAAAGTAAAAGCAGTTTAAAACATTTGTCTGAGGCAGCAACCACCCCACCACTCCCTCTTCAGTGAGAGAGACAGGAAATTTCTTAATTGTCAAGGCAAAGAAATGAAGACAAGAGAAAATGTTTTATCAGAATTCATATTCCTCACTTTCATGTCCATTCCATCCACACCTGGGTCCTATCGCCACATATGACCCTTCCTCTGATCCCCAGGGCCACATCTGTACATACATTCCATCATCTGATCCTTCACACATACACACACACACACACACACAC